ATAATAAATATTATCGCGCGATAATAATAAATATTATCGCGCGATAATAATAAATATTATCGCGCGATAATAATAAAAATTATCGCGCGATAATTTCCATTTATCGCGCGATAATCTATCATTTATCGCGCGATAAAAAAAATGTGTCATGTCCCCTATGGGCCACCATAGTAATTGCCACAATATTTCCAAAAATTCAGATTTGTCTTTTCATAAATACCCTTTGGATTCTAGGTCTCAGACCAAAGTTATACATGCTATTTTCTTCAACTTCAAGTCGCGGAGATTGAGTTTTAATCTGCATGAGTAAATGTCCATAATTTTGTCTCGTTTCCATTTCGAAATGTCATGGCTGTTTTTTAGCTTCTTTTACAGCAGATATGAACTTTAAACATGAAATAAGATCAAAACAGACTTAGGAGTACATCCGTTACCAAGGTGTGCTCTGAACAGTTCCATAACGAGGTTTTTATCTGAGTTTGCAGATAGCCGAACTGGGAGATTAAAAGCGGATGGCGCCTGTCTTTCATTGTTTTTATGATCAGCAGGAAGCTATTTCAGAAGTCATTTGAAAAAGTAACAATGTTTCGTTTCCAGCACGATATTGTTTTGCATATTGTCACAGGTCAGAAAAATTCAGGCCAAAATAAATTACCTCAAGGCATGGAAAAACAAAGTCACAGAAACGGAAAATTTGCAGTTAATCAGTCGACCTCTAGTATTTGTTGAATAAAAAACTTGAATTTTTAGCGTATATCCGATTACCCCAACATTAGGATGCCTATTCTCCCTGCTTTACTCTATACATTTTCAAGGTGAGTGCTGACAAGGAGAATTTGTTTAACAATCAAGAGCTTCCTCATGTGGGATATAATTTCCTTCATATCGTCGTAGCCGTTAACATTTCTTTCGTAGCCTTCACATAGACTGATATTGCGGGCAGAAATTAAAAGCTGCTCACTCGTAGGGGTCAAAGTGTCAAGTTTTCAACTGGGGTAAACAAACAGGGTTTCAGTGATTGTGATTTTTCCCATTTTCTTTCTGACAGTTTTGAGGAGGGCTAGGTTAGGGTTAGGCCTGAAGGACAACCTCGTTCCCAGGGCCTTTTCCCGTGGTTGGGGGTGGGGTGGGAAAAGGGTAGAGTTAGGCTTTTCACGACCCACCACCAACTAAGGGAAAAGGCCGTGGAAAATTATTTTCAGACTTTCCTCAGTTAGTTGGGAATTAGTCAACCCATGATATCAGGTATAGAATATAAGATAAAATAAGATATAAAAGACAAGATAAAAAAAGGAAACTTTTAAAGTATAAATTTTAGCCGGATTATAACTTGTAAGGAAGAGGAACGATTCATCGATTAATTCTCAATCGAGTGTCGAAAGTAGCCTGGGATCCTTGAACTTGCCTTATTTCGGTTTGTAACTGGTCGAGAAAACTCGCGCCTTGTTCTAATCCAATCAGACGGGAAACAAAAACCAGTCATGATTTGGTCGCCCGTGTTTTCCCGCGCTTTTGGCACCTTTGCGTGTTTATCACCTCGAGTCCTCATTGGCTAATAATGACTGGAACCTTTCTTATTGATTTCTTTGTTGTTACAACTTTAATTTTAGTTTTGCGTCAGTCCATTGAAAACAGCTGTATTTTCCAAGTATTCATCAGGTAAACTGATCCTTTGGATCAACTTCATCAGTTCTGCATGATCGATATTATTACTATATATATTTCAATAAAATAAGATTCTTCAACTTCAGATGTTAGGCTGTTTCCTCCCCCCCACCCTTCAAGCTATAAGGAGCTCTTCACGTTCGACAATGACTCACTTTCCTTGAGAATTCTTATCCGCGGAACTTTTATCATGACCACAGGGTAGCCAGATGGTCGAAAATTTTAAAGTTCTCTTCGCTGGGCCTTGTGGTGCAGGGTACACCAAGGGAACGAAAGGAAACAATCACATCATTTCTTTAATTGTTTTTATTGACTATACGTTTCCCCATTAATTTAAAAACGTTTTCCACTCTTTGAAATGTCTCTATGTACAAATGTTCTCAGTTGAAGAAACTTGCCAAACGTTTTTGGTCAAGTAATTTTTTTCTCTTGTTCCCTTATTTTTTTTTCAATAGAAGTAAAATTTTTTCCAGATATTACTTTCTCTTGTTCTTCCATTCGCTCAACATATCTTTTACAAATTCATATGTACAACTGTTTCGTCTTTGAGGTTATCGAAACCTCGTGCTAGTTCTACCTAATTCACTTGACGTTCTGACCGATATGCTTCAACCTAGAAAATATGAAAGGATTCATTCAGTCGTCTTTCTTTTGTGCAAGATTTCTTGTCTTTCCTTAGGCCTTGAGAACAATCAGCGATTTAGTAAAAAATAAAAAAAGGGGTTTTCCTTGGGCTGTAATCCACCAGCTGCTTGTAAATCCCACCGGCTCTGTTGAATCAATCGTCTCACGAGCATGTCAACCTTCACCCCAAAAATGCGTTAAATTCTGAAAAAAAGAATTCAATAAGAATTAAAATCTTCTCGTTACCACGAAGAAAGTAGACTTATTCACCTCGCCTACCTATATAGATTCTATATAGGTAGAATCGTTGAAAACAAAAATTGGGTGGACCAGGTAGAGAAAACTTTTAATCTTAACCAAAATATTTAGACGAAAATTCAAACCTCACCATTCCCATTCTCTATTACAACGGGCTACGCAAAACTTGTTGGTGTCAAACACTATAAACTAATGGTGGACCATTCAGTCGTCGCCAACAAAGTTAAGGAGGGGCTAGGGAAAATTGACTACCAATTAACTGCCACCACGGGCTCGGACTTCG